AGGAAAGGGCGACAAACGCGGGGTTTGCGTCATCGTAAAGCGCGCTTTCTAACGGTACCCGTAACGCAATTTCGAATTTTTGCGCGAAAATGTACGTTTTCCCGTAGCGGGTCACATATATATATATATATGTCACCGTACGTTGTCGAGCCTCGCCGAACTGCGCATGTCACCGTACGTCGTCGGTACGTCACGCCCACTCCTCAGTAGGCTCCACCCCAGATATCTAATTTGTGAGCGTGTGAGGAAAGGGAGAGAGTTATGGATCGGTCTAGAGAAGATGCTCTTAGTTGTCGACGAGAGAGGGAAAGAGAACGTCGTGCCAGTGAGACTCCTGAGCAGAGAGAAGCTCGGCTTTCTCAACGCCGATTGCGTGATCGGGAACGGGCAAGGCAACGCCGGGCAACAGAAACAGCGGAGGAAAGGGAAGCGCGACTACAAGAGGTCGTGTACGATCAAGAGCTAGACGCGGTGCAGAATCCGAGGAAGCACATCAGGCATGCCTGATTCGCGCTGTCGTCTGACTGTTTTTGACTCGACTCCAATTGTCTACTGCGCTCGGGTCTAAAAGGTTGTTTCGGCCTACTTGGTCCTGCGCAATGTATCTCACTGTTTTGTGCACACACAAGAGTGACTCATACGATTAGACCCCATTTGTAAGCTCGCTTCCGCTCGCCAAAAATGACATGCATTCGCCTACTAGTGGTACGAACGGCGCGATTTTTCTATATATATAATTATATATATATATAATATATCTACGACCGTAGACCGTCGTACGTCGTGTAAGTGCGCATGCGCCTATTTGTACGCGCTTCGAAACTATTTCCAAATTTTTACACATTTTCACACGCGGTGCCTCGCGATATGCGCCGATCGATCTATATAGCCAGCTAGAGAACTATCCTCCATACGACGGCATGCGCTGCAACCTTCGGTGACTGACCGAGGCTGTACCTCTTCCCAATCTTCATGGTTCCAAGCTGCAACTTGCAAATACGCTAGGATTGCTCGTGCACGTACTGCTGCATGCCAGCTGCCTGGTGAACGACGACTGACGAGTTGAAAGCGTAAGGTAAGTACCGTTCTGCTCACCTGCTCACCGTTCTGCCAATGTACAATACGTTATGTAACGGCGACAGGTAGCTCTGTCTTGCTTCACGAAAGAAAAGCTGTGCGCTGACGGCACGTTATGCAACCCGAACATCACGGGCAAATCCCAAGTTGGGTCGCTCCCGCTCGCCAACAATGTTCAATATTTGCACTAGTATAATTGGCGAGCGGGAGCGAACCAACCTAGTCGTTCGTTCGAGCGGAATTTTCTGTGTATTATATATATATTATACATCATATGTATATTCGTTTGTACGTCGTGTAAGTGCGCATGCGCGGCTTTGTACGCGCTTCTTTTTATCCGAAATTATTTCCAACTTTTTACACATTTTCACACACATGCCTCTCGATATGCGCCGATCGATCTAGCCAGCCAGAGAACTCTCCTCTATTCGACGGCATGCTCTGCAACCTTCGGTGACTGACCGAGGCTGTACCTCTTTCCAGTCTTCATGGTTCCAAGCTGCAAATACGCTAGCATTGCTCGTGCACATACTGCTGCATGCCAGCTACCTGATGGACGTTGTCGGGCAGCCCGATCGATCGCTGCCTAGCCTACTGCCATGCCAGCTGCCTGGTGGACCACGACAGACAAGCTGAAAGCGTGAGGTAAGGACCGTTCTGGCAATATAAAATAGGCATGTAACGGCGACAGGTAGATCTGTCTTGCTTCACGAAAGGAAAGCTGTGCGCTGACGGCACGTTATGCAGCCCGAACATTGCGGTCAACTCCCAAGTTGGGTCGCTCCCGCTCGCCAACCATGTTCAACATTTCCACTAGTGGAAATGTTGAACATGGTTGGCGAGCGGGGGCGTACGCAGCTTTCTTTTCGTGAAGCAAGACAGACCTGCCTGCCGCCGTTACATGCGTACTGTATATTGCCAGAACGGTGAGCAGGTGAGCAGAACGGTACTTACCTTACGCCTTCAGCTCGTCAGTCGTGGTCCACCAGGCAACTGGCATGCAGAAGTATGTGCACGAGCAATCCTAGCGTATTCGCAAGTTGCACCTTGGAACCATGAAGATTGGGAAGAGGTACAGCCTCGGTCAGTCACCGAAGATTGCAGCGCATGCCGTCGAATGGAGGAGAGTTCTCTCGCCGGCTAGATCGATAGGCAAAGGCAAAGTGTGTGAAAATGTGTAAAAATCTGGAAATAATTTCGGATAAAAAGAAGCGCGTAGAAAGCCGCGCATGCGCACTTACAGGACGTACGAACGCATATAAACAGAAAATTCCGCTCGAACGAACGACTAGGTTGGCTCGCTCCCGCTCGCCAATAATCGTCCGTCGTACGTCGTACGTCGTGTAAGTGCGCATGCGCGGCTTTGCACGCGCTTCTTTTTATCTGAAATTATTTACAAATTTTTACACATTTTCACACACGGTGCCTCTCGGTATGCGCTGGTCGATCTAGGCGGCGAGAGAACTCTCCTCCATTCGACGGCATTCGCTGCATGCAACCTTCGGTGACTGACCGAGGCTGTACCTCTTCCCAATCTCCATGGTTCCAAGGTGCAACTTGCAAATACGCATGTAACGGCGACAGGTAGATCTGTCTTGCTTCATGAAAGGAAAGCTGTGCGCTGACGGCACGTTATGCAGCCCAAACATCGCAGGCAAATCCCAAGTTGGGTCGCTCCCGCTCGCCAACAATGTTCAACATTTCCACTAGTAGGAAAGCTTCCATCTAAGGTGAATGAAAGTTATGTTAGTTAGGGTGTGTGTAGTCTTTTAGTGGTAGATAAGGGTCTAAGATGGTGTGTTGTGGGTTAGATAGTGGAACATAGGGTTGGGAATGTGGTTTGTGCATTGGTTACAGTAGGAAGAGGTGAGTGTAGCAATCTAAGCTTGCAGGAGCCTTGCCAGACTTCACATAGAGAGTCACATTTGAGTGTGGTGACCCCACTCTCTCAACTGAAAAGGGAAAGAGCTGTTAAGCCTGGGTCCTTGGCTGGGGATTAGTTCCGTGGCCCCACAACTTAAATGAAAGGGGCTGGATTGAGTGGGACATGTCATTAATGTCTCAGCAGGCTGATAGGCAGTCACAGAAGCTGTGCGTAGCTCTGTAAAGCGGCTCTTTCTTTTATCTTGCCCCACCTTTCCTAATTTTGCGTGTTCGGAGAGAGTAGCGCGCATGCACGGCATGAAAGTGGCTGGGTGGATTTCGGCTGAATGACACATGCGCGCAGGAGAGCCGGCTGAAATGCTGATTGAGCGCAGAAGCCGAATCTGTGACTGAAAGAGATATACAATTTTGTTTGCTCTGGCCAGCTATATCGACTGTTGTAGGCCATCATCACTGCCTACCATGTGCATAAACCAGGCCACTGTACTCGATGAGCGATAGACGTAGCTGCGCAAGCAGTGTATTTCCATTTTTTTCTCAGTTTCCTCATTTGATGAAATAGAGGACAAGCCCTTCATAGCAGAAAAACTGATTGATAAGGAGTTTGGCTGGTGTACAATCAACTTCTTTCAATGTAAATTAGGCTAGCAAAATCTCTACAATAATATAGGTACATTTTGGCTCTGTGTTTGCCTCCCTGTTTCATCAGATATGTAGCGTCTGAGGCCTTCGCTGAAGGTGGTCGTAGCTCTATACCTCGACCGCTATCAGTGCTTGGTGCAACAGTACTTACGGATAGTCACAATTGAGGACAGTGATTGGGGAGAGAGCTCCAGACTGACCAGGACATACGACTTTTATACATTGTCTTACACAACTGTGCATGCATATAATATTGGTGGTGGTTTTTATTTATTTATTTCTCTATCTATCTATCTATATATACCTATGGCTGGTATGCTATGAACTCTAATTTCAGGCAGCAAAAAATTTTTTGCTATTTTCTGGCGTCACAGATAGCTAGTGTAAGATAAGCAAGCTTCCTGTGGCATTTTTTAATGTAGTGACCACAAAACCTCTATGGGTAGAACAAACAAGTTGTTGTAAGAGGATTTTGCAAACAATAGTGCAGAGCTTCGCTCTTGGCCTGTTACTTAGCAAAGTTTGTTCAAATTCACCCACAAAAATGTTCTAGAATAATTTTCTTGTGTCACAGATAGCTAGTGTAAGATAAGCAAGCTGCTTCCTGTGGCATTTTTGAATGTAGTCACCACAAAACCTCTATGGGTAGTCAGAACAAACATGCTGTTGTAAGATGCAGAGCTTCCCTCTTGGCCTGTTACTTAGCAAATCCCGCATGTCATTCCCAGCAAGGTTTGTGCAAATTCACCCACATCATTGCTGGGTTTTGGGTCTCAAGAATGTAATAATGGTGGAGGTACCATGGGTCTGGTGCCGTGTGCAGACTATTTGGCTATTGTCGGACTTCCAGAATGTTTCCGGTAACCATAGACACTTCTTGCTTGAGACCTGCGACGGAGACACACATTGCGGGGTGACATTCGTGACCCAACCATCTTTACAAGGACCCACTATTATAATAATTATAGTCTGTACAAACTAGTCATTGTATAATAATTGGATATTGCATGCTGCATAATAATAATAAAGCTGCCAGATACACCTCTATACATATGTGTGTATCATCACATTTCATGTGCATAACAGTTAAATACAAGTTTGAATCGTGGAAAAGCTGGGAGTCAAAATACACAGAAAATTTCATGATATCTACCATCGCCTCCAATATTGTCAGAGGCAGAGCTCCATCACTGTATACTCACTGTCACGGGCAATTTTACAGTAGCTACAGAATCTCGATAATGTACCCAAGATCACCTAGCATAAGACCAGTAGTTGAACAGAAGTTAAAAAAAGTGAATTGCACCCCAGCACATGCGCAATCCACATGTATTAGCTACACAGCGATGCAGCTGTAGCTATGTGTGCACCCAAGCCTTGCACTATCCTTCAACTGTCATAGTTCTTCAGAGATGTATAGGCAGCATTACCAACCCTAAATTTGTTTCAAACTAGCAAGCAATACTGGAAAATAATACAGGTTGAAAAAACACATGAGCTAGTTGGGAGATATAGGTCCATAAGCCTTAATGGTGTTAAGTTCAATGGGAGGTGTCTTCTCCAAGGGAATGTCCTCGTAAACAGGAGGTATCTCAGTCTGGCCTCTCTTGCCCTTCCTATGACAGTGACCATGACACAGAGTCAGTAGAACACCAAGTAGCAGTCCAGCAGTGAAGCTACACAATACACACACTACTCCTGTTGTAACCACTGCTTCTGCTGTACTCAGAGAACTGCCTCCTTTATCACCATCTGTGGAGATATAGGCTGTAAGACTTATTCTCTAGGTTTCATCCTTACTCATGGCCAGTGTCACCACTGGAGTTTGGCTGGTCACTGTTCTTGAGCTGGTTAATACTGCATATTATGGGTCAAAATTAGAAAATGCCTGGTTACCTCAGTGTCACTAAATATTTATAGTTATTATAACTAAACATTTTTTACTGTGTTCTGCTTCTGCTGTGCTAAGAGAACTACCTCCTTTATCACCATCTGTGGAGATATAGCCTGTAAGACTGTAACACTCCAGGCATCAGCCTTACTCATTGGTTGCTTGGTCGGTGTAACTGTTACCACTGGTGTTTTGCTGGTCACTATACTTGAGCTGGTTAATACAACTGAATATTGTTGGTCAAAAACTAAGTCAATGGCTAGTCATATTGTACTAAAATACCTTGTGGTTGTACACAGGTGACATCATCAGTACTAGGCAGCCATGTTAGAGAAGGGAGAGAGCATGTGGCCACAGTCTCTCCCACCAGAACCAGGTGGGTGTCACAGGAGTAGGTGACCTGTGCTCCTACTCTGGAACTGGTCAACTCACCAACACTGCCATTCACTGGTGGACTGGGAGGACCACAGCCAGCTGAGGGAGAGAGCCAATAGAATAGTTTATCTCTTCACTAAGTGAGACAACTTGCCAACAAAGACTTCCTCAGTGACCTCTGCACTAGTGCCTGCACAGTTGATGGCTGAGACGCTGATTTCCAGAGGAATGTTGTACACTCCCTCTAGAACTACAGTTGTATTGGTAGTGGTGATGGACTGTGTAGTGGTGTTGGTCAGTATTCTGTACTCATCAACCACTTCATCTTCCCCGTGACTCCCAGGAGATGATGATGGAGAAGTTGTATATGCCATCCTCATACTTCACAACTATCGAGGATGGAGGAGATGGAGGGCCTAAAATGCACAGAGTATATATGGACATTCTTAATGGTAAAAGTGATAATGGTATTACTTGTTTTGTAGATAAGCATGTGATCTTGGTTTCGAAATACTTGGCATATGATATCAGTTCCATTGTCAACATCATCATCCACTATCAACCTCCAGGGTGGAGGTAAAGTTAGCAAGAACAGTGCCCACTGGATCTGCTGCCACTAGAGTCACAGTGTATGCTCCAACAGTGACCACTTCTGATACATCCTCTTGGAAGAAGGTATAAATCATTCCATTCTGGTCACTCCATCCCATAGCCCCAACTCCACTGGCAGTACAGGTGAGGGTGACAGTGGTGGCAGGACAGACTGATATGATACCAACTTCAGATGATGGAGAGGAAGACAGGGAGAAACCTTGGACATCCCAGCTTGTGGGGCAATGAATAGAAAATTATTAATGGACTATACAGCTAATTTCACATGTATTGTGACATTCTTTATGGTTTTTCGCCTTTGTTACAGGGTGTTGTGCCACACTACACAGATTAGCTAATTGCTCACCATAATGATAGCTGTATATATCATCAGAAACACTGTGGTAGAGTAGTGAAATAATATGTAATAAACACAAGGCAATTATTGACTTACGATAACTTGCAGCAACCATATTTTGATGGATCAACGTGGATATGTGCACTAGTCAGCACTTTTTTGACCTCATGCATGAACTCTGGATTTGAGAGAATGACGTGGTATGAGACAGTTTTGCATAATATGTGCCTTGAGGAAATGACTGTCGTGGAATGTAAATATTGTAGTAGCTACAATTAGCACAAGCAAAGTTCCTGCATGTATGCTGCTGACAGTCAATATTGCTTTTGCTTAACACTAAACCTCTGAGTACAGCAGAAGCAGTGGCCACAACAGGAGTAGTGTGTGTATTGTGTAGCTTCACTGCTGGACTGATACTTGGTGTTCTAGCTACTTACTCTGTGTCATGGTCACTGTCATAGGAAGGGGAAGAGAGGCCAGACTGAGATACCTCCTGTTTATGAGGACATTCCCTGAAGCTGATCGACCTATCACAAGATAAATCTCATGTCATTATCGATTACAGACTTCGCCTTTTACATACCAACTTGTTTTCGTAACGTTGACTTAGTTTGTGAGGACATTCGAAGCACCTGCTCTCAGGCCAGTCTTGCACGCAACAAAGAATTTTCAACCTTGTGACTATACACACACGTTATCAAAAAATACACATAGGGTGTTAATACAAGAAACTTTGTTCACACTGATATTGGACAATAATGTTTTGTTGACAACAACAATTGAGGCTTTACAAAGTTATCATTATAGCTAACGCTCATGGGGTAGCTATAGCACTAGGGCGATGGCTTCAATATCTCTTCTTCCCGGCCAGTCCATAAGCGGGGTTGTGTTGTGTGGTGGTGGGTAGAGAGTTAGAGACTCCATAAGCCACGTTCTCACTGGTGTCTGGACCAGTGGGTGTCACCACATCACTCACTGTCTCACACACCACTGCTGGAGGTCGAGACTCACAAACAACACTGTGTGCGTAAGTGTATGGAGGAAAATAGTATGCACCTCAGTATTGATAACCTCTATCTATCGGTCCATGTATGTGTAAACATAGAGCATAGTATACACCAACCTACATGAATTGTGCCTTTTATTGACAAGAACACGGTATGCATCCAGCATTTTTATCGCCTTGTGTGTATATATGCAGTGATGGTAACTATATGCCCATCCTGGAAACAGATAACTATGGATCGAAAGTAAAAGTCTACAGGAACACAGAAAATGGGCCTTTTATCTCCATGTGTACATACAACATACATATCTACAGTTGTAAAATTATAATAAAGTATTATTATGTCACAGTTCATTTGCCCAATGTCTTAAATCTCTGTATATAATTCAGAAAGTATATACCTGCCAGGCCCAAAGAGAGAGGAGAGAGATAGATTAAGTAGCTACACTACTCCACTGTTCCACCACTTAAACCTTGATTTTACATCATTCTCACTCCCTCCAAACATCAAGTGCAACTCATGCAAAGCTGTCTTTCAGGGCTTAGTATAATATGTGGACACAGGATTTCCCCCCCATCAGAGAAAACAAAGTGGGATGTGTTTTGAATAGAGCTACACTGTTCAGTGGGAGACATGGCGAGGGCAGGCTAACCTGGGAGCCATGAACCCATCGGGAGGAGTCTTGCCTTCTCTAGCCAGACCTCTCATTTTCGAACAAGGGGGAAGGGAGAGTTAGAATGACATCTTTCTTTGAGTGTGTGATATCAAAGGACACAGACCTGATGTGAAGTCAAAGTCTTCGTGCTGTGAAGGGTCGTAGAAGTCCATCTGCCCCAGTTTCTTGTTGTAGGCGGCCACTTTGAACGGTACCACCTCCAGTCTTGTCAGACCTGGGGCCATCATCAGTACCTGTGGCGGTGTGCAGACAGAAACACAATGATACTCAGGTATGCTGAACACTTTTTGGCATGTACTATACTAGTGGGACAGTTACTACTATCATGCAGTTAGAGGTTCTCCCTCCCATGTCATGCACATGTAAGCTTTCACACACAATCTTGCTTATCAGCTCACTCCAAAGAGGGAGAAAACCTGGCACTATTCAAACCCTAACTGGCCCAGTAATTCAAGTGTAGCTACAGCTGATAGAAACACCCCAAGGACAACAGTGGTGAGGGGGATGCCTGATATCTACCTCCAACCAGATTTCCTGACACATTAGAAACCAGCAGATGATCCACTCTCTCTTGTTAGACCAAGTAGCAAAAGCTACACTAAGGTATATTATATTACTGGCTCTGCATCTAGCTCTGCATCTAGCTATGCATAAGTCTGCTTTCTAAGATATATACACACACTCTATGTGAATGCCACTGTAGTATGGAGGTTACCATACCTCAGTGTGTCCGGCGTACATCATGGGAGATGGGAATATAGCAAGGACAATGGTCTCTTTGTCCAGGACTCCCTCATCAAGTACTGCATGGTGCTGCCTGATACTCACTCTCATGCGAGTTTCATTCCAATTGTGCGTACATTCTCTCAATAGTGTCCTTTTGGCACAATCACCACACAATAATGTACCATGTTACAACAGAAGACTCTTATCTACTGACATTATATATACTACTCTGAGACTGGACCAGTGGAAATTGCTGTGACGTTCTCTAGTGCTGTCTGTAACAAAACCACTACCTTGGTAAGGCTATATAATTATGTTCTTGTCTTGTGGTGTGTGTGTGTGTGCCACTCTCTCTCCACATCTACTCTGCAGTTGAAGGAGTGTTGACTAGTGTGTACCTGAGGTCGAGGACACTAGTCATTGAGAGCAGAGACTCGTATACTGCTAGTCCTGAGAACTACGCTATTATCATAGCCACACCTACTAAAGTGGTGAATATGGCAACGGTGGAATACAATGTAGTAGAAGTGAGCCCAGGCAGTAAAGTTGGTTGAGACCACATCCAACACCATCATTGATGAGAAAAATTACACCATCACGTGTCCTACCTCTACAAAAAAAACCTATTGCCACACCTACTGAACCAGGTCTGTTCTACACATGTCTATAATTGGAGTGAGTTTTTGATGGTCCCTGTGTGATTGAGGCTGTCAAACCGAATACAAATTCCTATACTAACACCTACTGAACTAGGTTGGTTTCGCTCTTGTGTATTGTAGTGAAGGGATGGAGACTGTCAAAAGGAATACAAATTCAGCAGTGAAAGAAATAGCAGCTGGAGTAGGTGGTGTTGTGGGACTGCTGGTAGCTAATAGTGGCTGTTTCAGTGTGTCTGTCTGTGTGGCTTTGTGTGGGGAATAGAAGGTCAAAATATAACGGTACGTGTGTGCAGTTGTTTAATCCATTGATGTATCCGACCTACAGATAGTGCAGCATCCAACAAGGGAGAGGAATTGAAAATTCTTGGGTGAGTGAGTATCACTAGAGGGATTGAGGACACGGGTTTTTTTCCATGCCGTGATATTTCGCTTTCAGTACTCAGATTCCACTTTAGCCTTCCTCCTTACACTTACAGTGTTGTTGATGTGTATACCCGCACACTACTTCCTTTACCACCACCCGCAGTCCCCAAGAGAGTGTGGAGGAGAGGAGGTGTGATCCACCAGAGACCCCAGCACCAGCAGCACCAGTACTCGTCTTGATGTCATCCCTCCTCTCTATGATGACCTCGATACCCTCTCTAGAGAGGTCAGTGTAGTCTTTCTTTGGGTGTCACGTTACAAACCCAGTCAATGATGTTGTCAATGCAGAAGGAGAAGCCACCTTCACTGCCAATGTATCATGTGTTGGAAGGACCTAGCTACTCCTATTGAGTCGGCACCAGACACACAAGGGACTGAGGTGTGTGTGTTGTTTGTGTGTGTGTGTTGTTTGTGTTGTTAGTGTGTCAGTGTGTGTGGGGCCGGGGTGCATGCATATCCACACCAACATAACCACAGCCACAAGACTACAGAAACTGAAAACACTTGTCGGTACGCTTCCAGTGGTTACAGTAAACAAGTGCATGGGGGAATGTAAAGTGGCACACTTTGCAGTGCTATATAAACCAGTGGTGTTATTGTTTTCCATCCCCGTTTACTGCCCTGACACAAGACTTCAGCTCCAGCCATTGATATCCCTGTATATTCTGTTGTCAACAAGACTAGAACAGAGCTTCGAAGCCCATCTCTGTAAGCTGCTGTGCGGGCCACACTTCCTTCCTGCAGACATGCTACTGTGTTACTAATCATTAATCTGTATTGGTGGCTTTCTGTAGGAGGACAAGGAGGAGAGTTCTCCAATCAACAATGAACCTCAGCAAGATGCAGAAAGGGACACTTTCTTCAATAACGTGTAATTGTAGCAGGTCAGTATTATACCATAGTTACAGGTCAAGACTCATTTTAGAACTATAGACTCAGTGAATCATCATAATCATCATTGTATATAGCACTCATTTGATTTTTACTCCTCATTTTTTTCACTAGCCATTTCATATTTGTGTATCACTTTCAGCCTAAGCAAGCTGGTCCTGATACATGGTTGTTGTGGCTTTGAGTCTGAGACAACTGGAGCCTGTTATAGACAGCTGCTCCTTGTATGAGTGAGGGTGCAGGTCTAGTCTCAGACACCACCACTTTGTGCATTGAGACCTGGTTACTCTGCATACATGACAACCTCAGAAGGGATATGGGGTGTGGTGATATGAATGAGTACAACAACTGGACATGGTGTGTTCATAAATGCTTGTTTCGTAGTAAGTGAACGTATGAGGAACATTTTGTACATGGGTGTGTCCGCTTCACTCTAAGAGTGACACAGAATCTTGCTCTGGGTGGAGCAATAGCAGAGGTGATTTTGTGGTGTGAGACGTGCAATTGTGGTACCACAAGGCAGTTTTGATAACACAGCACACACTTTCCTGTTCAACACCGCTCTCTCCTCTCTCTCTCTCTCACCATGTTAGGCAGTGTTTGGCTTTCACTGTTATCTTAGTTTTATCAACAATCTGTGAAAGCAGAAAGCTATGTAGGAAGTGTACTGAAGTGTTCCAAACTACTGTCGAGGACAATTTGTTCATGTACCATGCATTAGGAGGAAACTTAACTCATTGGGGTCCACATTACGGGCGCAATTGCCTACGTAATTCCGAATATAGGTAACGTTTTAGCCTACTTCAGAAGCGTGGAGTGAATGGCTCACGCGGTAAGGTAGTGTACTTAAACACGGGTCCCTAGTTCGAACCCCACACACAGTGCATTGTGTACACTAACAACTCAGCGAAGTGAGTGTAGCTTCATATCAGCAGACATATCAAACAAAAAATGCATAGATCGACATGTGTCTAAGATATGCAATGCACACACAACTTGCTATCCCTGCAGAGGCTGATGCAGTTGTTGAGACCCTCACATATCTTTGGCCCAGGCTAAAGGGTTGTGCAGTACATTAATGTATACACGTCCCTCTGCTTGTTGTGTTACACTCTCTTGGGGGAATCTTAGTTTATATTCAAGTGTTTTCAACGGACAACAATAGCAACTGAAACTAGTTTCTGAATGTGTGTCATCTGAGGGCATCTTTTCCAGAGAAAATTCTCGGAATAACACTGAGGTCTCATGCCCGCGCCCACAACATCCCTCGCATGCGCGCATGCGCAGCGAGGATTATATATTGCGGTCTGTCTAGTGTGTGTGTGTGTGCGTGCGTCCTTCCTTCCGTCCGTCTGTCCGTCCACCGTTTTTCTCGGTAACCGCGGCAACTCTGAGCGTGAAACGTGGACATAATAATTATTACTAGTAGGCGAATGCACGCCATTTTTGGCGAGCGGGAGCGAGCACACAATGATTATATCCGCACGAGCCAACCTAGGCTACTTACAACTTGCAGCTTGGAACCACGAAGATTGCAAGCCTCGGGTCAGGCACCAAAGAGTGCAGCGAATGCCTCCGAATGGACGAGAGTTCTCTCCCTGGCTAGGCATCGAACTAGCACATAGTAGCAAGACCGTGTAAAAAAGTTGAAATTGTTTCGGATAAAAAGAAGCGCGTAATTCTGACACATGCGCAATAGCACGACGTACGGACGGCGTACGAATCGCGCCGTTTGGACCTCTAGGTTAGCTCGCTCCCGCTCGCCAATGAAGTAGGAAGCATGCGTGGTAAAATAAGATTCTTGAGCGGAGAAGGCCGGGGGAAGCTGGTGAAACGGACGGCTGCCGAGGTGAGTGTGCGTAAAATAGAGATCGCGGACGATCGCTGTATATACTTAGATGCTAGATGCTTTGCGCGTGTGGAGAAGATTTGCTGGTCTGCCTGTATTGATGGTATAGTTGAGTAGGATCGAGATTGGCGCTGAAGTTAGAGCAGCACACGTCCGACACGCCCCTGTGAATCCGTTCAGTGAAGGAGTCACTGAGGTAGTGTAGCCGCCATTGGCTGCTGAAATAAAGTGTTGAGGGTTATGTACTGTAAAGTGCTTCTCACATTGCTGTAGTAGTAACTAGTATTAAACATGCATGCGCAAAAGAAAGTCGACAAAAGTGATTGGAATAAAGTGGCGAGGGTTATGCACTTTGAGTGCTTTTCATTGGGTTTTGGGTCTCAAGAATGTGTAGCATGTGTAGAAAGGGAAATGCATTATAAGGACATGTGGAAGGAGCTGAAATCCTCCGACATACAATTCCGAAATGTTGCTAGACACTTCCTGAGAGCTTCAACGGAGACACACATCGCTTTGGGGCTCTGGGTGACTTTTGACCCAAACATCTTGACAAGGACTCACTATTATTAGTCTGTTGTGTAACTCTAGCCTCGTTCCCAGCCCTTCCCTGCTTACACAATGTACATTTACAAAGAGTGATAATTGCACATGTGTGACCAACCAGTTGAAGGCCTGGGAACACATGCTCCATTAGAAAAATTTCCCAAGATTTTGGATGGTTCATGTGAATTGGATCCAGCACTAGTATATACAGTGAAGCTATGGTAAGCTAATACACCAGAGGCCGAAGGAAGGGTTTTATATTTAAACAGTGACACATAACGCATCTGGTTTTTTAGTAGAATGGTTGATTACAGCCGCAAATGGTACGAATTAACTTTGTAATTATAATTCAAAAGGACGAAAATCTCAACCACTAAGAACACAGGGACAAACAACACAAAATGAAAATATTTGAGTAAGCACGTAAAATGCGAAACGAAAGCATGTCTGGATGCAAAATTCTCTGCATAGACCAGGCCCAGGTATACATAAGGATTACATCATATCCATGCCAGTGTTTATTCTGAAGAAAGGACATGCAACTTGCATGTCCTTGCCAAGGAAACAAGCATGTTGGATTAGGGAGTGGTCGAGAGCTGCCAGATACACTACGTGTGTATTATGAACTGACTTATGGGAGTGGTCTATATATTACAATGGCATGCTACAAATTAGCTGAGTATGATAACACTCCCAGCTGACATATTACCACACTCACACATGGCATATTTATTATGGGAGTGTATGGAACCTCTTTGTTGGTTTCATGGACACTGCACAATCATGCTTCATGCACACACTGTAATTCAGACGTATTTTACTGGGAGGTCACGTTTCACCATGGAAGAGCTGGGCCTGTGGAGTTTGAAAATGCACAGAAAATCTCATGATATATACTTTAGCTAGCATCAATCGCCTCCAATATTCTAGTGGTCAGAGGCAGAGCTCCCTCACAATAATTATTCATACTTGTTGTCACGGGCAGCTTTACAGCAGTCACAGAATCTCAATAATGTACCATAGATCTCCAAGCATAAGACCAATAGCTGAGACGTTCAAAAAAGCACCTTGCACCCCAGCACATGCACAATCCACAATGGTATTATGCAGCGATGCAGCTACAGCTATATATGTGTGCACCCAAGCCTTGCACTATCCTCCAACTGCCATATTTCTTCAGAGATGTATAGCATTTCCAAACCCAAATGTGTTTCAAACTAGCAAGCAAAACAGGAAATTAATACAGGTTGTAAAACACATGAGTTAGATGGGAGATATAGGTCCATAAGCCTCATTGGCGTTCAGTTCAATGGGAAGTGTCTCCTCTAAGGGAATGTCCTCATAAACAGGAGGTATCTCAGTCTGGCCTCTCTTCCCCTTCCTATGACAGTGACCATGACACAGAGTCAGTAGAATACCAAGTAGCAGTCCAGCAGTGAAGCAACACACACCACACACTACTCCTGCTGTGGCCACTGCTTCTGCTGTGCTAAGTTTTTCACTTGAATCAGTGTTGGTTTGATCTATATTTTGGGGCGAGATAGTCATAAAAAGAGGGAGCAGTACGTACATAGTTGCTTTAGTATAGCTACTTTCTGGTTTTTGTACACACATGACATCATCACTACTAGGCAGCCATGTTAGAGAAGGGAGAGAGCAGGTAGTGACAGGCTCTCCCACCAGAACCAGGTGGGTGTCACAGGAGTAGGTGACCTGTGCTCCTATATACTCTGGAACTGGTCCACTTACCAACACTGCCATTCACTGGTGGACTGGGAGGACCACAGCCAGCTGAGGGAGAGTGCAAATGGAATAGTTTATCTCTTCAATAAGTGAGAAAACTTGCCAACAAAGACATCCTCAGTGGCCTCTGCACTAGTGCCTGCACAGTTGATGGCTGAGACTCTGATTTCCAGAGGAATGTTGTACACTCCATCTAGAACTACAGTTGTATTGGTAGTGGTGATGGACTGTGTAGTAGTGTTGGTCAGTATTCTGTACTCATCAACCACTTCATCTTCCCCTGACTCCCAGGAGATGATGATGGAGAAGTTGTCAGTTTGATAACTGTCAGTTTTCACTGTCATGTTGTTTGGAGAAGAAGGAGGACCTTTTGCAGTTTTAAAGAGATATCATAGCTACATACATAATGAGCAAAGAGTTTACTTCTTTTATTGATGACTAGATGGTCTCGTTTCATGAAAACCAGACAAGATATGTTTGTTCCACTGACAATGTCATCAACCATCACCGTCAGTGTTGAGGTGAAGTCAACAAGTGGGTCTATTCTGTTATCAATAGTTGTAAGGTTGAGAGTGTATGGACCTTCGTGAACCACTCTTGTCTCTTCATTGTCATAATCCATAACGAGGAATGCATGGATCTCTCTGCGGTCTCTCCATGTCATGGAGCCAACTCCACTGGCAGTACAGGTGAGGGTGACAGTGGTGGCAGGACAGACTGATATGATACCAACTTCAGATGATGGAGAGGAAGACAGGGAGAAACCTTGGACATCCCAGCTTGTGGGGCAATGAATAGAAAATTATTAATGGACTATACAGCTAATTTCACATGTATTGTGACATTCTTTATGGTTTTTCGCCTTTGTTACAGGGTGTTGTGCCACACTACACAGATTAGCTAATTGCTCACCATAATGATAGCTGTATATATCATCAGAAACACTGTGGTAGAGTAGTGAAATAATATGTAATAAACACAAGGCAATTATTGACTTACGATAACTTGCAGCAACCATATTTTGATGGATCAACGTGGATATGTGCACTAGTCAGCACTTTTTTGACCTCATGCATGAACTCTGGATTTGAGAGAATGACGTGGTATGAGACAGTTTTGCATAATATGTGCCTTGAGGAAATGACTGTCGTGGAATGTAAATATTGTAGTAGCTACAATTAGCACAAGCAAAGTTCCTGCATGTATGCTGCTGACAGTCAATATTGCTTTTGCTTAACACTAAACCTCTGAGTACAGCAGAAGCAGTGGCCACAACAGGAGTAGTGTGTGTATTGTGTAGCTTCACTGCTGGACTGATACTTGGTGTTCTAGCTACTTACTCTGTGTCATGGTCACTGTCATAGGAAGGGGAAGAGAGGCCAGACTGAGATACCTCCTGTTTATGAGGACATTCCCTGAAGCTGATCGACCTATCACAAGATAAATCTCATGTCATTATCGATTACAGACTTCGCCTTTTACATACCAACTTGTTTTCGTAACGTTGACTTAGTTTGTGAGGACATTCGAAGCACCTGCTCTCAGGCCAGTCTTGCACGCAACAAAGAATTTTCAACCTTGTGACTATACACACACGTTATCAAAAAATACACATAGGGTGTTAATACAAGAAACTTTGTTCACACTGATATTGGACAATAATGTTTTGTTGACAACAACAATTGAGGCTTTACAAAGTTATCATTATAGCTAACGCTCATGGGGTAGCTATAGCACTAGGGCGATGGCTTCAATATCTCTTCTTCCCGGCCAGTCCATAAGCGGGGTTGTGTTGTGTGGTGGTGGGTAGAGAGTTAGAGACTCCATAAGCCACGTTCTCACTGGTGTCTGGACCAGTGGGTGTCACCACATCACTCACTGTCTCACACACCACTGCTGGAGGTCGAGACTCACAAACAACACTGTGTGCGTAAGTGTATGGAGGAAAATAGTATGCACCTCAGTATTGATAACCTCTATCTATCGGTCCATGTATGTGTAAACATAGAGCATAGTATACACCAACCTACATGAATTGTGCCTTTTATTGACAAGAACACGGTATGCATCCAGCATTTTTATCGCCTTGTGTGTATATATGCAGTGATGGTAACTATATGCCCATCCTGGAAACAGATAACTATGGATCGAAAGTAAAAGTCTACAGGAACACAGAAAATGGGCCTTTTATCTCCATGTGTACATACAACATACATATCTACAGTTGTAAAATTATAATAAAGTATTATTATGTCACAGTTCATTTGCCCAATGTCTTAAATCTCTGTATATAATTCAGAAAGTATATACCTGCCAGGCCCAAAGAGAGAGGAGAGAGATAGATTAAGTAGCTACACTACTCCACTGTTCCACCACTTAAACCTTGATTTTACATCATTCTCACTCCCTCCAAACATCAAGTGCAACTCATGCAAAGCTGTCTTTCAGGGCTTAGTATAATATGTGGACACAGGATTTCCCCCCCATCAGAGAAAACAAAGTGGGATGTGTTTTGAATAGAGCTACACTGTTCAGTGGGAGACATGGCGAGGGCAGGCTAACCTGGGAGCCATGAACCCATCGGGAGGAGTCTTGCCTTCTCTAGCCAGACCTCTCATTTTCGAACAAGGGGGAAGGGAGAGTTAGAATGACATCTTTCTTTGAGTGTGTGATATCAAAGGACACAGACCTGATGTGAAGTCAAAGTCTTCGTGCTGTGAAGGGTCGTAGAAGTCCATCTGCCCCAGTTTCTTGTTGTAGGCGGCCACTTTGAACGGTACCACCTCCAGTCTTGTCAGACCTGGGGCCATCATCAGTACCTGTGGCGGTGTGCAGACAGAAACACAATGATACTCAGGTATGCTGAACACTTTTTGGCATGTACTATACTAGTGGGACAGTTACTACTATCATGCAGTTAGAGGTTCTCCCTCCCATGTCATGCACATGTAAGCTTTCACACACAATCTTGCTTATCAGCTCACTCCAAAGAGGGAGAAAACCTGGCACTATTCAAACCCTAACTGGCCCAGTAATTCAAGTGTAGCTACAGCTGATAGAAACACCCCAAGGACAACAGTGGTGAGGGGGATGCCTGATATCTACCTCCAACCAGATTTCCTGACACATTAGAAACCAGCAGATGATCCACTCTCTCTTGTTAGACCAAGTAGCAAAAGCTACACTAAGGTATATTATATTACTGGCTCTGCATCTAGCTCTGCATCTAGCTATGCATAAGTCTGCTTTCTAAGATATATACACACACTCTATGTGAATGCCACTGTAGTATGGAGGTTACCATACCTCAGTGTGTCCGGCGTACATCATGGGAGATGGGAATATAGCAAGGACAATGGTCTCTTTGTCCAGGACTCCCTCATCAAGTACTGCATGGTGCTGCCTGATACTCACTCTCATGCGAGTTTCATTCCAATTGTGCGTACATTCTCTCAATAGTGTCCTTTTGGCACAATCACCACACAATAATGTACCATGTTACAACAGAAGACTCTTATCTACTGACATTATATATACTACTCTGAGACTGGACCAGTGGAAATTGCTGTGACGTTCTCTAGTGCTGTCTGTAACAAAACCACTACCTTGGTAAGGCTATATAATTATGTTCTTGTCTTGTGGTGTGTGTGTGTGTGCCACTCTCTCTCCACATCTACTCTGCAGTTGAAGGAGTGTTGACTAGTGTGTACCTGAGGTCGAGGACACTAGTCATTGAGAGCAGAGACTCGTATACTGCTAGTCCTGAGAACTACGCTATTATCATAGCCACACCTACTAAAGTGGTGAATATGGCAACGGTGGAATACAATGTAGTAGAAGTGAGCCCAGGCAGTAAAGTTGGTTGAGACCACATCCAACACCATCATTGATGAGAAAAATTACACCATCACGTGTCCTACCTCTACAAAAAAAACCTATTGCCACACCTACTGAACCAGGTCTGTTCTACACATGTCTATAATTGGAGTGAGTTTTTGATGGTCCCTGTGTGATTGAGGCTGTCAAACCGAATACAAATTCCTATACTAACACCTACTGAACTAGGTTGGTTTCGCTCTTGTGTATTGTAGTGAAGGGATGGAGACTGTCAAAAGGAATACAAATTCAGCAGTGAAAGAAATAGCAGCTGGAGTAGGTGGTGTTGTGGGACTGCTGGTAGCTAATAGTGGCTGTTTCAGTGTGTCTGTCTGTGTGGCTTTGTGTGGGGAATAGAAGGTCAAAATATAACGGTACGTGTGTGCAGTTGTTTAATCCATTGATGTATCCGACCTACAGATAGTGCAGCATCCAACAAGGGAGAGGAATTGAAAATTCTTGGGTGAGTGAGTATCACTAGAGGGATTGAGGACACGGGGTTTTTTTCCATGCCGTGATATTTCGCTTTCAGTACTCAGATTCCACTTTAGCCTTCCTCCTTACACTTACAGTGTTGTTGATGTGTATACCCGCACACTACTTCCTTTACCACCACCCGCAGTCCCCAAGAGAGTGTGGAGGAGAGGAGGTGTGATCCACCAGAGACCCCAGCACCAGCAGCACCAGTACTCGTCTTGATGTCATCCCTCCTCTCTATGATGACCTCGATACCCTCTCTAGAGAGGTCAGTGTAGTCTTTCTTTGGGTGTCACGTTACAAACCCAGTCAATGATGTTGTCAATGCAGAAGGAGAAGCCACCTTCACTGCCAATGTATCATGTGTTGGAAGGACCTAGCTACTCCTATTGAGTCGGCACCAGACACACAAGGGACTGAGGTGTGTGTGTGGTTTGTGTGTGTGTGTTGTTTGTGTTGTTAGTGTGTCAGTGTGTGTGGGGCCGGGGTGCATGCATATCCACACCAACATAACCACAGCCACAAGACTACAGAAACTGAAAACACTTGTCGGTACGCTTCCAGTGGTTACAGTAAACAAGTGCATGGGGGAATGTAAAGTGGCACACTTTGCAGTGCTATATAAACCAGTGGTGTTATTGTTTTCCATCCCCGTTTACTGCCCTGACACAAGACTTCAGCTCCAGCCATTGATATCCCTGTATATTCTGTTGTCAACAAGACTAGAACAGAGCTTCGAAGCCCATCTCTGTAAGCTGCTGTGCGGGCCACACTTCCTTCCTGCAGACATGCTACTGTGTTACTAATCATTAATCTGTATTGGTGGCTTTCTGTAGGAGGACAAGGAGGAGAGTTCTCCAATCAACAATGAACCTCAGCAAGATGCAGAAAGGGACACTTTCTTCAATAACGTGTAATTGTAGCAGGTCAGTATTATACCATAGTTACAGGTCAAGACTCATTTTAGAACTATAGACTCAGTGAATCATCATAATCATCATTGTATATAGCACTCATTTGATTTTTACTCCTCATTTTTTTCACTAGCCATTTCATATTTGTGTATCACTTTCAGCCTAAGCAAGCTGGTCCTGATACATGGTTGTTGTGGCTTTGAGTCTGAGACAACTGGAGCCTGTTATAGACAGCTGCTCCTTGTATGAGTGAGGGTGCAGGTCTAGTCTCAGACACCACCACTTTGTGCATTGAGACCTGGTTACTCTGCATACATGACAACCTCAGAAGGGATATGGGGTGTGGTGATATGAATGAGTACAACAACTGGACATGGTGTGTTCATAAATGCTTGTTTCGTAGTAAGTGAACGTATGAGGAACATTTTGTACATGGGTGTGTCCGCTTCACTCTAAGAGTGACACAGAATCTTGCTCTGGGTGGAGCAATAGCAGAGGTGATTTTGTGGTGTGAGACGTGCAATTGTGGTACCACAAGGCAGTTTTGATAACACAGCACACACTTTCCTGTTCAACACCGCTCTCTCCTCTCTCTCTCTCTCACCATGTTAGGCAGTGTTTGGCTTTCACTGTTATCTTAGTTTTATCAACAATCTGTGAAAGCAGAAAGCTATGTAGGAAGTGTACTGAAGTGTTCCAAACTACTGTCGAGGACAATTTGTTCATGTACCATGCATTAGGAGGAAACTTAACTCATTGGGGTCCACATTACGGGCGCAATTGCCTACGTAATTCCGAATATAGGTAACGTTTTAGCCTACTTCAGAAGCGTGGAGTGAATGGCTCACGCGGTAAGGTAGTGTACTTAAACACGGGTCCCTAGTTCGAACCCCACACACAGTGCATTGTGTACACTAACAACTCAGCGAAGTGAGTGTAGCTTCATATCAGCAGACATATCAAACAAAAAATGCATAGATCGACATGTGTCTAAGATATGCAATGCACACACAACTTGCTATCCCTGCAGAGGCTGATGCAGTTGTTGAGACCCTCACATATCTTTGGCCCAGGCTAAAGGGTTGTGCAGTACATTAATGTATACACGTCCCTCTGCTTGTTGTGTTACACTCTCTTGGGGGAATCTTAGTTTATATTCAAGTGTTTTCAACGGACAACAATAGCAACTGAAACTAGTTTCTGAATGTGTGTCATCTGAGGGCATCTTTTCCAGAGAAAATTCTCGGAATAACACTGAGGTCTCATGCCCGCGCCCACAACATCCCTCGCATGCGCGCATGCGCAGCGAGGATTATATATTGCGGTCTGTCTAGTGTGTGTGTGTGTGCGTGCGTCCTTCCTTCCGTCCGTCTGTCCGTCCACCGTTTTTCTCGGTAACCGCGGCAACTCTGAGCGTGAAACGTGGACATAATAATTATTACTAGTAGGCGAATGCACGCCATTTTTGGCGAGCGGGAGCGAGCACACAATGATTATATCCGCACGAGCCAACCTAGGCTACTTACAACTTGCAGCTTGGAACCACGAAGATTGCAAGCCTCGGGTCAGGCACCAAAGAGTGCAGCGAATGCCTCCGAATGGACGAGAGTTCTCTCCCTGGCTAGGCATCGAACTAGCACATAGTAGCAAGACCGTGTAAAAAAGTTGAAATTGTTTCGGATAAAAAGAAGCGCGTAATTCTGACACATGCGCAATAGCACGACGTACGGACGGCGTACGAATCGCGCCGTTTGGACCTCTAGGTTAGCTCGCTCCCGCTCGCCAATGAAGTAGGAAGCATGCGTGGTAAAATAAGATTCTTGAGCGGAGAAGGCCGGGGGAAGCTGGTGAAACGGACGGCTGCCGAGGTGAGTGTGCGTAAAATAGAGATCGCGGACGATCGCTGTATATACTTAGATGCTAGATGCTTTGCGCGTGTGGAGAAGATTTGCTGGTCTGCCTGTATTGATGGTATAGTTGAGTAGGATCGAGATTGGCGCTGAAGTTAGAGCAGCACACGTCCGACACGCCCCTGTGAATCCGTTCAGTGAAGGAGTCACTGAGGTAGTGTAGCCGCCATTGGCTGCTGAAATAAAGTGTTGAGGGTTATGTACTGTAAAGTGCTTCTCACATTGCTGTAGTAGTAACTAGTATTAAACATGCATGCGCAAAAGAAAGTCGACAAAAGTGATTGGAATAAAGTGGCGAGGGTTATGCACTTTGAGTGCTTTTCATTGGGTTTTGGGTCTCAAGAATGTGTAGCATGTGTAGAAAGGGAAATGCATTATAAGGACATGTGGAAGGAGCTGAAATCCTCCGACATACAATTCCGAAATGTTGCTAGACACTTCCTGAGAGCTTCAACGGAGACACACATCGCTTTGGGGCTCTGGGTGACTTTTGACCCAAACATCTTGACAAGGACTCACTATTATTAGTCTGTTGTGTAACTCTAGCCTCGTTCCCAGCCCTTCCCTGCTTACACAATGTACATTTACAAAGAGTGATAATTGCACATGTGTGACCAACCAGTTGAAGGCCTGGGAACACATGCTCCATTAGAAAAATTTCCCAAGATTTTGGATGGTTCATGTGAATTGGATCCAGCACTAGTATATACAGTGAAGCTATGGTAAGCTAATACACCAGAGGCCGAAGGAAGGGTTTTATATTTAAACAGTGACACATAACGCATCTGGTTTTTTAGTAGAATGGTTGATTACAGCCGCAAATGGTACGAATTAACTTTGTAATTATAATTCAAAAGGACGAAAATCTCAACCACTAAGAACACAGGGACAAACAACACAAAATGAAAATATTTGAGTAAGCACGTAAAATGCGAAACGAAAGCATGTCTGGATGCAAAATTCTCTGCATAGACCAGGCCCAGGTATACATAAGGATTACATCATATCCATGCCAGTGTTTATTCTGAAGAAAGGACATGCAACTTGCATGTCCTTGCCAAGGAAACAAGCATGTTGGATTAGGGAGTGGTCGAGAGCTGCCAGATACACTACGTGTGTATTATGAACTGACTTATGGGAGTGGTCTATATATTACAATGGCATGCTACAAATTAGCTGAGTATGATAACACTCCCAGCTGACATATTACCACACTCACACATGGCATATTTATTATGGGAGTGTATGGAACCTCTTTGTTGGTTTCATGGACACTGCACAATCATGCTTCATGCACACACTGTAATTCAGACGTATTTTACTGGGAGGTCACGTTTCACCATGGAAGAGCTGGGCCTGTGGAGTTTGAAAATGCACAGAAAATCTCATGATATATACTTTAGCTAGCATCAATCGCCTCCAATATTCTAGTGGTCAGAGGCAGAGCTCCCTCACAATAATTATTCATACTTGTTGTCACGGGCAGCTTTACAGCAGTCACAGAATCTCAATAATGTACCATAGATCTCCAAGCATAAGACCAATAGCTGAGACGTTCAAAAAAGCACCTTGCACCCCAGCACATGCACAATCCACAATGGTATTATGCAGCGATGCAGCTACAGCTATATATGTGTGCACCCAAGCCTTGCACTATCCTCCAACTGCCATATTTCTTCAGAGATGTATAGCATTTCCAAACCCAAATGTGTTTCAAACTAGCAAGCAAAACAGGAAATTAATACAGGTTGTAAAACACATGAGTTAGATGGGAGATATAGGTCCATAAGCCTCATTGGCGTTCAGTTCAATGGGAAGTGTCTCCTCTAAGGGAATGTCCTCATAAACAGGAGGTATCTCAGTCTGGCCTCTCTTCCCCTTCCTATGACAGTGACCATGACACAGAGTCAGTAGAATACCAAGTAGCAGTCCAGCAGTGAAGCAACACACACCACACACTACTCCTGCTGTGGCCACTGCTTCTGCTGTGCTAAGTTTTTCACTTGAATCAGTGTTGGTTTGATCTATATTTTGGGGCGAGATAGTCATAAAAAGAGGGAGCAGTACGTACATAGTTGCTTTAGTATAGCTACTTTCTGGTTTTTGTACACACATGACATCATCACTACTAGGCAGCCATGTTAGAGAAGGGAGAGAGCAGGTAGTGACAGGCTCTCCCACCAGAACCAGGTGGGTGTCACAGGAGTAGGTGACCTGTGCTCCTACTCTGGAACTGGTCCACTCACCAACACTGCCATTCACTGGTGGACTGGGAGGACCACAGCCAGCTGAGGGAGAGTGCAAATGGAATAGTTTATCTCTTCAATAAGTGAGAAAACTTGCCAACAAAGACATCCTCAGTGGCCTCTGCACTAGTGCCTGCACAGTTGATGGCTGAGACTCTGATTTCCAGAGGAATGTTGTACACTCCATCTAGAACTACAGTTGTATTGGTAGTGGTGATGGACTGTGTAGTAGTGTTGGTCAGTATTCTGTACTCATCAACCACTTCATCTTCCCCTGACTCCCAGGAGATGATGATGGAGAAGTTGTCAGTTTGATAACTGTCAGTTTTCACTGTCATGTTGTTTGGAGAAGAAGGAGGACCTTTTGCAGTTTTAAAGAGATATCATAGCTACATACATAATGAGCAAAGAGTTTACTTCTTTTATTGATGACTAGATGGTCTCGTTTCATGAAAACCAGACAAGATATGTTTGTTCCACTGACAATGTCATCAACCATCACCGTCAGTGTTGAGGTGAAGTCAACAAGTGGGTCTATTCTGTTATCAATAGTTGTAAGGTTGAGAGTGTATGGACCTTCGTGAACCACTCTTGTCTCTTCATTGTCATAATCCATAACGAGGAATGCATGGATCTCTCTGCGGTCTCTCCATGTCATGGAGCCAACTCCACTGGCAGTACAGGTGAGGGTGACAGTGGTGGCAGGACAGACTGATATGATACCATCCTCAGATGATGGAGAGGAAGACAGGGAGAAACCTTGGACACCTACAAAAAGATGACAATAGCTGTTTGTCAGTCACGCGTTAACAACAAAGCACACAAAAATTACCTTCTACTGAATTATTATGCTTTGCAAGATAAGGTGTGGCGTGAATCTTTCCACAGCATGCTAGGACCACAAGTAGGTTGTTAATGTAATAATTCTGGAAGTAACTTAATCCATGGAGGTAGAGGTGTGAATTGAAATGTTAGGAAAGCTAAAACACTGTGCATGACACACAAAGGTAGTGGGATAAACAAAGAATGGAGAATGGTCTATGCCTATATTATACTTAAAGTATGAAAAGTGCAAGCAGGATTCTGAAGTGCAGCACTAATGTAATGCTATTGTGGTGAGTGAATCCGTGCCAGTTTTACACAATAAACATTGTGTGCTTGGTGCTATTGTATTATGGTTAGCTTATAGATGACTGGGTAGTCTTGTTCGATTACAAACAGCTGCAAGTTATATGACAAGTGTATTTATCTCTTCAAAGCCTCAGAATTTTTCTCCATTGAGTTTTTATCCATTGTGGAATAGAACTCTGAATATGTCACATTTTCTGTAAGAGTTAATGTTCATGCGCTCCTCATACCTCCAGGGAAAACAATTGCAGCCCATGTGCACAGCCACATCTAAATAAAGGAGCAATTACACACAGATTGTAATAGAGTCGTAAATATGCTTACCAGGATGCGCTTTATGTTCAACATAGCTAATTATGACCTCGATTTTTGTCGAGCTACAAGCAACACAAATACATCCAAAACGATTAGTCAGCACTTTTCCTGACCTCATGAACTCTATAGAGGATGGTATGTTGGTGAGAGAGTTAGCTATGCATGTTACTCTAGGATAACATGACAATGTTTTTGTAGCAAACTACAGTAACAATTTCTTGTTATGTAAACAGCAGAGTTTTATGTTGTGAAAGGTGAAGTCAGTATTGACATGACAATCATCTTGAGATATGTCCATAAGCTTGATTGGTATTGAGTTCAATGGGAGGTGTCTTCTCCAAGGGAATGTCCTCATAAACAGGAGGTATCTCAGTCTGGCCTCTCTTGCCCTTCCTATGACAGTGACCATGACACCAAGTAGCAGTCCAGCAGTGAAGCTACACACTACACACACTACTGCTGTTGTGGCCACTGCTTCTGCTGTACTCAGAGAACTGCCTCCTTTATCACCATCTGTGGAGATATAGGCCGTAAGACTAATTCTCTAGGTTTCATCTTTACTCATTGGTTTCATGGTCAGTGTCACCACTGGAGTTTGGCTGGTCACTGTGCTTGAGCTGGTTAATACTGCATATTGTGGGTCAAAATTATAATGTTAATGGTACTAAAATAAAATACCTGGTGGTTGTACACAGGTGACATCGTCACTACTAGGTAGCCATGTTAGAGAAGGGAGAGAACATGTGGCCAGAGTCTCTCCCACCAGAACCAGGTGGGTGTCACAGGAGTAGGTGACCTGTGCTCCTATATACTCTGGAACTGGTCCACTTACCAACACTGCCATTCACTGGTGGACTGGGAGGACCACAGCCAGCTGAGGGAGGGGAATCAATCTTAACGTTAGCACTAGAGTAAATAATTTCCATACCTATGGTGATGTTGATAGTAATTGGCTCACTTTCCCCTATCAGAGCGTCGGTAGGCGCTCTATGTAGGGATGGCACGGGTGAAATGTCACGTGATCTGCGTACAAAACGCCTCTAAATTCGGGGAGAACGCCTAACTATGCCTTCAAAACACATTAGAAATCACACACGGGCCCATATCTAGCTATTTATGTTCCCAAAAGTATCATACGTAGCTACCTTCAATTCTCAAGACGAGAATCCGCTCTTACGCGATTTCACGATATACGCGTCATCATCATCATAATATTCTTCATCTTCTTCTTCTTCTTCAGACCCGCTTTCTCCTTAGTGGAACTGTTGATGCGCTGAAATTTGTACTGGCCCCCGCTGCGAAGTTCGATTTCTGGAGTTGGGGCCGCTACAGCTCCTCATTTTGTTTTCAATGTAAGCTCTGCAAGTTGTCAATATGTTTTGTCGGTAATTTGCCTATTTCGTCTCATATTTCAAAGCTGTTTATTTGGAGGTGCTAGTACACGACACTCCTTCGTGCCTGTGTGTACCCACCGGCCCTGAGGCACTTCGCAGCGAGTTCGTGCTGCACCTGGTCCTGTATCTCCTGAATCGTAAACCTCTTAATTCCTTCTACGTCTTTGCCGTCGTTGGCGATAACTGTTCCAACTCTGTTTACTCTCGTCCTGCTGCTTCTGAGTCCTCGTTGATAACAAAACGCCTGACGTTCTTTCCTCGCCAAAATCGTCTACTCTCGCCCTCTAGCTGCAACTGAATTCTCGTTTCACAAAACAGCAGAAATCGTCTACTCTCAACCTCCTCTACCTATGCCTGCCGTTCTTTCTTTTGAAATATTGCGCCATCCACTGCCCTCTGTCGCTGATTTGCTGGTCGTTATCACTGCGAAGACAACACCCAAGACAAGACAACACCCGGGCATCTTCAGATAAGTGAAATTTTACTGCTGGGAAAATGCCTTACCGCTACCCAAGAAAAAAGAGGGCAGGTTTCGAAAGATGTTATGTGCTAAATTCAGAGAATATAAAAGGTAGAGGTAGATCCCTTTATTTGTCAGACCCTGATAAGATAAAGGCTGTGGCTAGGACCTCCTACCATGCTGATCCTGATAAGAAAAAGGCAGCAGTTAGGGCCTCATATTGTGCAGACCCTGATAAGAAAAAGGCAGCTGTTAGGGCCTCATATTGTGCTGACCCTGATAAGAAAAAGGCTGCTGTTAGGGCCTCATATTGTGCTGATCCTGGTAAGAAAAAGGCAGCTGTTAGGGCCTCTTATGTTGCAGATCCTGATAAGAAAAAGGCAGCTTCTAGTGCCCTATACATGTTGAACCCATTGAAGAAAAATATTGCTGATCGGGCTGCGTATAGAGAGAATGCTTACAGACGAAGGGCTGCTGCAAAAGCCTGCTATGATGCAAACCCTAGACTGAAGTGTGCAGCTAGCAAGGCAGCTTATAAAACCAACCCTGATAAAATGAAGGCATTGTTTCGAGACTATCATGCCTCACATCGCAGTGCCAGGCTAAGGTATTTCAGAAAATATCACACTCATACCAAACCAAAGAGAGTGACAAGGGCTAGATACAGTTTGGCGCAGCCTAACCAACTGACAATTGAACAGTGTTATAGGAGTGTTAACGCCAACCTGCTAGCTGACGGTAAAGTTTTGTTGAAACTCAAGGAAGAGTTCAAGTCCCTGCATGCTGGTGTAGCAGATACACTGAGTAAGGCAGAGTTGGAAAAGACAGTGGGTAGACTTGCAGTTAAAAGGCTGGTTTGCAAAGCCTTACAAATACGCAGGAAACATGCAGGGTTTTTGCTGGCCAGCATTAAGCTGATTAAGTCTATTACACTTAAAGAACACATTGACTTTGGAAAAGGCTGCCACACTAGTGTGACAGAGCCTTACTTTTATGAGGCAGCCTACCTGCATGTTAGAGAGTCCCCAATCCCTGTTAATGAGAAGGGGGAGGGCATTGTTGCTAAAGAAGTGCCTATGGAGGCTGGCAGTAAGAATGAAGAAGGTAAAGATGCTGCCTCCAACAGTAACCTTTCTCAGGCTGGGAGTGTGGGTTGTGTTTCAGATGGGAAAGTTTCTGACAAGGGACCTGCCCAGTCTAAGATGTGGGAGTGCTCAAAGCAGTGCAAACCACTAAGTGAATTTGAGGTCAATGCCATTGTTTGTTTTAGGACAGCTTTTGAGCAGCCTGTTGAGAAAGTGAGGCAGGCCCTGGCTGAATGTGATATGGGTTGCCCCTATGGTCACTACACCAAATTAGTGGGTTCTCTGCCTGTGGACCTTAGAGGACACCCCATTGTTTGTTACTCTGGTGACTACTGTACTAGTACCCTGAGAATACTCAGAGCAGCTTCCACTCATTTCCCTGTTTTGAGGAGGTTTTTGGCCCATGTAACATCTGCTCTGAGTGCTCACAGGATTGTGTACGATATTGACAACGCTTTGAAGAATGGTAACCACCAGAGATTGCTACAAATCACACAGGTTGAGTCCCTTCTGAGTTGTAATGTAGAACAGAACTATCAAAAGCTCACTCCTGTTGATAGCTCAGCTCTTAGGAGGCCTAATATAGAGATGGAACTAGCTATTGCTCATGCAGCACTCGATTGCTGGGTTTGAGAAGGAAATTGATGACTTCCCAGAGCATGCATGCATTTGCTGTGAGCGTCTGCATCAGAGAAAGTCAGTGTCTGTTGTTAGTCTCTCTGATGACTTTAACTCTGAGATATGGCGTGAATTAAAGGCACATATTTTGAAGTATCCTCCAACTGTTTCAGGTCAAGTGTTGTACATGTGCTATTACTGCAAGCGCAGGGTGAGAGGTGGGATAATGCCTGCACGTTGTGTCCTCAATGGTCTGCAGACTGTTCCCATTCCCCCAGAACTGGCTGCATTAGACCTACTTAGTAGACAGCTTATCCAGAGGGCCAAGTGCTATCAGACTGTTGTGAGATTAGGTACTTACACTGGTAAAGTGCCCAGATACAATTCCCTGCAGGCCTGCAAAGGCACAATGTTTTTCCTTCCCTTGCCACTAAACAAGACCATAGAAACCTTAAACAAGGTTCAACAGCATACCTCTCTCCTACCAGACCCAGAGTTGTACATTATTGTCAATGGTAGGCCAACCAAGAGTAATGTTGTGTGGCGTAGTTTGGTGGATGTGAACCATGTTAAGACTGCAATAAGAAAGTTGAGGTCCTGTAACTGGCTCTACAGAGATGTTCATGAGAAATGCATTGATGAGAGCACTAAACACATCATTGAGGTCTCTAACAATGCAACCACAGAAATGTTGAAAAAGGTTTCCCCAGATGAGGTAGATGGGTTTCAGGCCTACACCATTAGAAACCTGGATAGCAAGCTCTCCATTGGTTCAGACTTAGAGCAGTACAGACTTATGAGCATCACAGAGGACCCTATTACCAACAAGCAGCAGCATTTAGATGTGATGTGTTTCCCTGTGCTCTTCCCTACTGGGAAGTTTGGAGAGTTCCACCCTAGGAAAGAGAAGATTTCTCCCAGTGAGTACATCAAATCTAGGCTGCTTAACAAGGACTCGCGTTTCCGTAAAGATGCACAATATGTGTTTTACCTTTTGTGGCAGAAGGAAATGCGACAACTCGCATCAGGTGTTTACAATTTGTTAAAGAGTACCAGGAGACAGTCCATGTCTGTTAACATGTTACTAGAGCAGGTGAACACCTCAGACGAGCAGCTAGAAGCACGTTTGTGCACAATGCTCCAGTCAGTCCGTGGTACCAAACAGTTCTGGTTCCTCAGACACAGTGAGCTCAAGTGCATGATACGTGAGTGGGGCTCACCTACCCTTTTCCTCACCTTCAGCTGTGCTGAGTATGAGTCCATTGATATCACTGAGTTTCTTAGGAAAGTGAACAATGTTCCTCCCAGTTACAACATTGGGAAGCTGTGTGTTGAGGACCCAATCTCAGTTTCCAGGAAATTTTCCCTCAAATTCCATGCCTTTTTCCGAAAGGTCATTTTGAAAGGTCAGGTCCTGGGTATTGTAGACCACTTTTATTGGAAGAAGGAGTATCAGAATCGTGGGGCTCCTCATTACCATGTCCTACTCTGGATTAGAGATGCACCACTCATTGATAGAGACGATCCCGAGAAGGTGCTAGACTGGATCCAGGATAGAATCACCTGCCACATCCCTGATGAACAGGGTAGCCCTGAGCTGCACAGACTAGTCACCAGGTACCAGATGCACAAGTGCAGCAAGTACTGTAAGAGGCGGAAAAGGTGTGGAAAGACAGCATTCATCACCAGGTGTAGGTTCGGGTTTCCCAGGCCAGTGTGTGAGACTGCTCAGCTCAACCCCGTCCAGGAGAGCCTGAAATCCCGTAACCGAATTTACCAGTTGGTCCGTACTCTGGCTGAAACAAGGGTGAATGACTACAACCCACTGTTATTGATGCTGTGGAAGGCTAATATAGACATTCAGTTTGTAGCCGAAGCCTCTCTAGCTCTTGCTCACTATGTCAGTGGCTATGTCACCAAGGCTGAGCGTAGCAACATGCAAGACATCTGGCAGGAAGTTAGTGAGAACAAGAGCATTTACAGTCGCCTTTTCAGCTTTGGTGTTAGAAGTTTACGGTTCAGAGAGTGTGGTCTGTATGAGGCCAGTGATCTACTGCTGGGAGACCACCTCACTGAGAAGTCTGACACAGTCAAGTGGGTAGACGTCTCCATGCCTCACAAGAGATCCCGTAGACTGAAGAACCACAAAGTCTTACAAGAAATGGCTAGGCTGAACCCAGATAGTCAGAACGTATTTGAGGATAATGTCCTAGATGCATTCTATCCTCAGAGACCAGCCGCCCTTGAGAATGTTTGTTTGTATGACTTTGTGGCCAACTATGAGTTCCAGGGTATAGACACCAATGGTCAGAGAGTGTACAAGAAACTTAGCAAGCCTAAACTCCCTAACCACAAAATCTTTTGACCCTGAAAATGAGAACCAGAAACAAGATTATTTCTACTCCCTAGTGTTGCTGTTCTCTCCATTTAGAGATGAGAGTAGTTTACTGCAGGGTAATGAGACAGCCGAGCAGGCATTTCATAGGCTACTCACTAGCCAGAGCTCAAGCTACCACTCGAAGCTGAGGACAATGTTGGCAGCAGCATCAAATGTAAAGGGCATTAATGAAGCGCGGCATGCCAACATGGAAGAAAAAGAAGCTAAAGAAGACAACGAGCCTCAGCTGCTAGGTGAAGCTAGAACAGTCATGACCGAAGTTCTAGACATGAAAGCCAGTACCCCTGGTCAGCTGACTCTAAATGAGAGAGTGTCCATGCTGAATCAGGACCAGAAGAGAGTCTTTGAGAACGTCAAGGCTCACTTCCTGCACCAAAAGTGTCACGAGGCAAAACAGTGTTCGTGTGATTTTTCACCTCTTAGATTGTTTGTTAGTGGTGTGGGTGGTACTGGTAAATCGTTTCTCATTGAGACCATCAAGGCCCTAGTGAATGGTCTGTGGAATAGTGAAGGCCTCCTCTGTGGTATTGCAGCACCGACTGGGCTTGCTGCATTCAATGTCGGAGGTATCACTATCCACAGACTGTTTCAACTCCCTGTTGAGCATGCTACCAAAGCCACTACCTATTGGCCACTGCCCAAAACATCCCAGAAGATCATGAGAGCAACTCTCTCTGAAGTGAAGCTGTTTATTATAGATGAGATTTCCATGGTTTCCAGTATCAACCTGGCTTTTGTACACATGAGACTAGAGGAGTTGTTTGGTAGCATTGAGTGGTTTGGGTCTCGGAACATGCTGTTTGTAGGTGACCTCCTCCAACTCCCACCTGTCCATGGGAATCCTGTTTTTGACAAGGTTGCCACTAAATCAATCCTGTTCCAACTAGGATGTGCAGCTGCCATCAATATTTGGAGAGATTGTGTTACCTATGATGAGTTGACTATCAATGAACGTCAGAAAAATGATCCACAGTTTTCCTCCATGTTGGACTGTGTGAGACGTGGTTGTCCAACCAAGGAAACTGTGAGTGTTTTGAAACGGAGGGTCATACACGTGTCTGTCTCAGACAGGTTTTCTGAGCTAGAGCAGTCTGGCAAGGCACCTGTTTGCTTATTCCCCAAAAGAAAAGCCTGTGATGACCTGAATGCACAAATGCTCCGCAAGAATGCTTCCGAAGTGCACGACATTTATTGTTCAGATGAGTTTGACGAAACAGCAGGCAATAGGAAGATGACCAAGAAGGTCATTGAGCATTTGGATAAACTGAATGCCGACTGCAACATGACAGCTGGGTTGGAAGCCAAGTTGTCTCTTGCAGTCGGTGCACGAGTTATGCTACGTCGCAACATTGACACCAAGACTGGGCTGGTCAATGGTGCTATTGGTACAGTGCTGTCTATAGCAGCCCAGCATGTGACTGTGCAGTTTGATAATGTACCTGCTCCTTGCAAGATTGAGAAGGTTAGAAGCAGGTTCATGGTGATGAAGAATTTCTATGTGTATCGTAAACAGTTCCCTCTCATTTTAGCTTATGCAATTACCATCCACAAGTGCCAGGGTCTCTCATTAGACTGTGCCATAGTTGACTTGTCTGAGGAGGTATTTAGTGATGGCATGGCATATGTGGCTCTATCCAGGGTTAGGTCACTAGATGGTGTGTTCCTAACAGCCTTTGATCCCCAGTCCATCAGTGTTAGTGTGAGTTCCCTGGGGGAAGTAAACCGCCTCAGAAAAACCCATAGACCTGATCTTCCTCTCTATGATATACCCCATGTCTCTAGAAGAAAGAGGAAGCTCACTGGTGTAGACAAAACTGTGTCCCCATGTGCAAAAAAGGTCAAGGTCAAACCCACATCTGCAAGGGATAATGAGGACTGTGTTATTACAGGTACAGAAACACCTGCTGCTACTCCTTTCAATTTCCACTCTGTAGATGCACAGTGGCAGCAAAGTGCATGTCAAGAGCTGGGCCTCCAATATTGTACACAAACACCAGTTAAACCAGGAGGACCCACTGTCCCCCTCACACTTCCAGACATGCGTAGTGTGAGACGCGTACAGGGAGATGGTAACTGCCTCTTTCGGGCATTCTCCTACATCCTCACAGGGTCTGAGGGTCAGCATATGGGTGTACGACATGCTATCCTTGACCACATGACAAATAATGCCCAATATTTCCTAGGCCACAGGCTATGACAGTATTCAAAGTTATATAGCTTCCACAGATATGGACCAAGATGGCACCTGGGGAACTGACATTGAGATGCTGTCTTTGGCACACCTGCTCCAGACCCCTGTCTTCTCATACAGCCAGCAGCATGGGCAGTGGCAGCGGTACTCTCCTCATGATGTCGACAGACAACTGACGGATGACATTCACCAGAGGTCTATGTATCTATTGCACACAGGAAACCACTTCAATGTTGTTGGTTCCACAAGGAAGAATTAATTGTTAATTTGGACTGTATAATACATAGACTCTGAGCCTGTTGGGGAAGGAGAGGGTGGGTCCCTGCAATGAAATTGAGGTGGCTTCCCTATTTTCACTATACAACCCTATCTACATGTCCAAATATGGACTTCCTGAACATGTTGGGGAAGAAGAGGGTGGGTCCCTGCAATTTGCTTGAGGTGGCTTCCCCATTTCATGTTCTATATAACAAGTCTCCATACTACATGGAACTGACTAATTACCCTCGGCGCGCATGCGCAGCGAGGGTACTGTAGTTGGGTTTGTCTGTCTGTCTGTCTGTTACTCTCAATCTCACTTCACGGTTTTCTCTGAAAATGCTCCGTTGCTAAGCTAGAGCGCTTCCAGCATTGTATGGCAAATGCCTGCAGTCGCCATTTTATCGCTGGCGGCCTAATGCGCATGCGCTTATATTTAGCACAGGACCGGGTCCGCTTGCTCTGTCTATCTTGAAGGCACAAGAAGTCACAACGAGTGTCGTGTATCGACTATCGCGTGCTATCTACAACTGTAGCTAGCCCGCGTCAGACTCTCTGCGAGCTACTTCGCCGAGGGTTTGCACTTTAGTGCTTTTCATTTACAGTGTAGGCAAACTACACTGTCTTGAACTCACAGTTTTAAGGGGCTGTAACTGCATCACCAAGTTGAGGTAGCACACTTCCAAAAGGTGAATGTCTGTGTACTATGGTTCACACTGACAGTTGTGTTGTATGCCAACAGTAGTAAGTGATCCCTCTGCAGACTGCTACAGCTCTGACACTAATATCATCATCCTCCCTTGAGGAGTGCACTCTGCAGTCAGTAGCTATGCCTGTTGGGACACTATATACTACATTGAAGCTACACACTACTCACCTAAACATCAGTGCACCTACATATACTTGCTGCAGTATATCAGCACCCTTCCTACATGCACTACACATATAGTATGATTGTTAGTATAGGCTCCTCTTTCCTGCTGTCTATTATCTGTTTTCCCCTGGGAAGCTCTCTACCTCTGCAGGTAGTCTATCTTCTGTCTGAGGGGCTCTGCTGTCTCCAGCCATAGCCAGCAATCTGGAAGAGGGTGACCTTCTGAGGGTGGATACCCTGCTGTATCTGGGGCATAGCGCCTGTTGGACTCCCTAGCCCTTACCATCAACAAAAGAAGGTTGGTGAAGGGCAATTAATTAGTGACTTGGTTGTGATAAGGGTTACTCTTGGTTTACCCAAAGACTTTGTTAGAAATGAACCCCTGGCACCAGTATGGTCACCTATAGTCTTTCTCAGTAGGTTGAAAGACCTCAAATAAGCCTTCCTCCTGGGGTGTGGGCTGCCTAATTAATTCTACTGTAAAAACTTGTAGTACTGACCTCCCTCCAAACGTTTTACCCTACACTGGGGTGTACCACTGTAAAAACTTCTACTTCATGTGAATTGTGAGTCCCCAACTCTACAGGTTGTCTGGAGAAAACTTGCAGAACTCAAGAACTCTTCCTCCTTTCAGCTCCTGTCACACTCTATATATGTGGAGGCTATACACAGATACTATGCCTGGAAACACCTTCAAAATAACTATTATAGCATATATACTGCCATTCTACAACACACTTTCCCCATTCCACCTATGTATTATCTTTATCACATTTGCAAATTGACATCAGAGTAATTGGAAGAGACTGGCAAACGTTATTAAACGTAGAGTCCGTTCAACATTGATCCAGGCAAGAAGGAAGTTCGCTTCCCTCACCTTATCGTCTCCACACAGACATTAACGCTCCACTAACAGTATTGTATATTATACATAAACCGATATCAGCCATAAGCGCATGCGATAAATGCCTTACAGGGCCGCGTGTGCGCCATGTGCGCGTGCGGAAGACCGCCCGGCGGCAAACCGCGCTGGGAGCACACGCGTGCGTGTTATATGCAATGTGCATGACGTCATACGCGCGCATACTACCGCACTGCGCATGTGGCGACGTTCATAAGCCTCCAGCGCTGGACAAATCAGTCAGTGTCAAGGAAAGTCATTGCTGTTGCAATTGTGCAATTGAGAAAAATAGTAGTGAAACATAGTAGTGAAACTGGTGAAAACTAAAATAGTGAAACTGCAATGTCCGATCTGTCATCCTCTATCGACCTTTCTCTAGAGGAACACCTTTCACAGGTGGACCAAGCTATCAGTGAAGAGCAGCAGGAACCAAGTCCACCGGAATCAAGTCCACCGGAATCAAGTCCACCGTAATCAAGTCCACAGGAACCAAGTCCACAGGAACCAAGTCCACAGGAACCACCGCAACAGCCCAGCCCAAGGTGACAACTACGCCCCAGAAGATACATCCCTCTTGTGTTTAGGGGGCAACAAATGTCAACGCCACGGCAATCACCTTACGGCAGAGGTACACCCCAACTCCAAACCACTCCAGTTGGCACTGCAGCTGTTGGCACTGGAGCTGTCAGCAGTGGAGCTGTTGGCAAAGGAGCTATTGGCAAAGGAGCTGTTGGCAAAGGAGCTGTTGGCAAAGGAGCAGTTGGCGGTGGAGCTGCTCGGACTGGAGCTGTTGGCAGTGGAGCTGGTGAGACTGGAGCTGTTGACACTGGAGCTGGTGGCACTGGAGCTGGTGGCACTGGAGCTGGTGGCGCTGGAGCTGGTGGCGCTGGAGCTGGTGGCACTGGAGCTGGTGGCAGGAGCTGGTGGCGCTGGAGCTGGTGGCGCTGGAGCTGGTGGCGCTGGAGCTGGTGGCACTGGAGCTGTTCATACTGCCAATTCAACTGCTCCCTCTTCCGCTGCAAATGCAACTGCTGTAGCTGGAAGCTCCACCACAGGGACGTCTGCAGTTGCAATTGCTGGCAAATCTGCAATACCTGGCAGAAACAACTCAGCAGGTTCACGCTCTCGTCCTCGTCATGGTGGGGCTAGAGGAGCACCACGCAGGGGAGGTGGAAGAGGAGGGCAAGATAGGAGGGGCAGGAGGCCATATCGATCTCGTTCACCTCGTCCATATGAGCAGTGTCGTTCCCATCCTCGTTCCCATCACCAGAACAACCAGACTGGCGTGCCGGCCCACACCCATCACCCAACCCTCCACGTAAGTCTCCAACCAGTTTCTACATAAATACAGCAGTACTTCACATGACTGCATTTTTTAAAACTTAAACACCATTTTCATTTACATCTGGTTAATTCAGCATCAATATAATGTCTAAAGTGCTTGTGAATGAAACTCCATATCGCAATAGCAGTAGTATACATTTGGCCCACTCCACCATACTATCACATATTTCAAAAATCCTACATGCAAAATACAAGCTAAACCACAGAATACAAATTCATACTCGCGTATTATACTTTCCCCTTCCACAGATCTCTAGGTGCAGGGTCAGTTTCTATGGGTGGAAATAGACTAGACCCTCCTACCAAACCGAAGATCCTGGTTTGCTGCATCCATCTTATCCCATATTATCCTTCAAGTTCATTATATTATCACCTTGGAACTCATACAATCCCATCCATTCTACCATATTCTTCAGACTTGTCATCATATCTGTTCCTAACCCGAACCCTATCTACTCCCTTTCACCCCCAAACCACTTAGCTTAAGTACCTCTTTGTTCTTGCCATGACTGCCGCTGTTGTACTCAACTGATGACCATCTCAAAGTACTTCCCATCACTGCCGCTGTTGTACTCACCGATTCCAATTTTCAACTCAAAATTGTCACGAGTTCGTAGCGCGCTATGGGTCTATATAGACTCGCAGCACGCGTGGCGCGCGCAAAGCATGCCCCCGGCCCCTCCCATGCAATTAATTATAAACCCTGCCGACTAGACACCGCCGTTGTGCCCGCGCCCCGCGCGTTTCAGCATCCCTCGGCGCGCATGCGCAGCCAGGGTCCGTTCCCGGCCCAACTACGCATCCTACGCCTCCTCACAAAATATTGTTATACCAACAGTAAATGCAAGCAGCCACATCATACCACAAGGTCTAGTCTTCTCCCACAGTAGAGACTTCTCCAGGCACATCCCCATCTTCTTGCACTTTCATGTCACACTGCCTTCACCTTCAACACAAAACACCAAAAACTCCTTTCGCACAATGAAACCATCTTCACATCATTATTATCGTCAAAAACATAGTCCAACAAGCACAAACATTTCTTGGAAATCAACAGAGATGTAGGGATGGCAAATCATTACAGCGTCAGTAATGCTCTATGTAGGGATGCCACAAGGCAAATCTCCATCATCCACATACAAAGCGGCCCAAAACTCGGTAGTTACAGCTAGTAACACATTAAACATAAATGACTCATTCTATACAGGTGACAGCTATGTACACATCTACATGAAAAAACATGTTTATAGCATACTAGCTCAGAGGAAAAGAAAGAACCTCCCCCACCCAAGCACACAAAACACAGACAATAACATACCCAAGCGTACAAAAACACAGACAATAACATATAAACAGAAAGAAAGAGGCAGGACCCTGGGTGCCGTTGTTTTTATTGGGACCAAATAAAAAATGAGTGTAACAAGTGAAAAAATCATTTCTGTGAAATGAAAGGGGATGTAAGGATGTCACATCATGAAAAATTAGGGAACAAGAACATGCCTACACTGAGACAGAAAGTCATTCATAACCCCATCCCTACATCTTTCTGCTTCAATGTTTTGCTTCTCATGAATGCATCAGCATACAAACGATAGATCATCAGTGTGTGCGGGCATGCATGTGTGTGTGCGCGTGGTGTGTGTGTTACTCTCCATCTCACTTCTCGAGTGTTCGTTCGTCTCACGAAGGATACCACCTACTTAACGGGCAATGAAGTGCGTGCGGCGAGCAGGCATATGGAAAGACACATTTCATAACCCCCCTCTGCGTGTGTTGATCTGTATAGGTAGTCAATTGGAAAACAGTTGTCAAACAGTATGAACAATCGCTGAAAGTTAATGATAGATTGATAGCGCTTTTGGCTATTCAGTGACCAATAATTGTCCTTATTGTCGTTCCCACAAGGCGGGGTCACATACACGTGCCTGATAATATTATCGTTCTTCTTTAGATGTCTGTACGGAATCACTTTTAGGTGTCTTGTATTGTTTGGTAGCTAATGAAGGCTAAGTGTTGTGTGATGAAAATCCCAATGAGAACTCATCTGGGGATGAGCTGGGGGATGGTGCCGGGGGCAGTGGCATTGCTGGGTATTCTTGTTACCTCTATTTTCATTGTAAGAAGGACAACAAAATGGCTTCAATGTCACTTAATCCTTCTACAACCCCTAAAGTTTTGGGAAATGAATGGCTGCAAATACTCAGCAAGGAATGCGGACGTTTCGCTTTACATACCTTCATTGTAGTGCCCCAAAGTTTCGCACTACGTTGGCTTAGCACCACTGCGTGTAGCTAGCTACTCCCCATCATTGCTCTGCTGGGATGTGTGGTCTTTGGTCCTATGTAGTGTAGCTGTTTATGTATTGCTGTTTGGAGCTTTGTTGTAACAGTTTGAACTGTAGCTATAGAAACGAGTCTCAAACTAAGAGAAACTAAACTGCATAAGAGGCATTTCTCACGGAAGGAATCAAAGTGACACACATGACACGCTGTCAACAGTTCGCATATGAGGATGAAATCACTGATATTCATGTCTCTGCAAGGCAGCACCTTTAGAATGTCTAGCTACCACATTTTGTTGTCAGTGTCAGAAGGACCACAAGATGGTTTCCATGTCACCCAATCCTATACACCCCTAGAGTTTTTGGAAATGAATGACAACAAATAATCAGTCAAGAATGAAGAGGTTTCAATTACAGATCTTGTTTCAAGTGCACCGAGGGCATTGGGTTGTCACACAGTGGCCAGGGGATCACCAAAACAGGACCTCCGGCCAAACTTTAGCATGCCAAACCATCACATTTTTGCTGTCAAAAACGTGGATCTATGCTGCAAAAAACAGATCTGTTCCAATTTTAGCAGACCAAATATCGACCAAATAGCTCTAGCTATAGCTTAAAAGTCAAAAGTGGAACAAAGTCATTTTAACACTAAACACCTAGCTACACAAATTTGCATGTTCCGTGCTTCAATAAGTCAATAAGAATCAATGGGGTTAGGAAATTGGTGCTAATAGCTACTTAATACATGTTTATTTGTTATTTAAGGAGATACCCATGGCGTCAAGACTAGTTCAGTACACAATCGGACACGATCATTATCAGACACAACACACAGAATCATAGGAGACTCTCAAAGTCGTCATGTTTTTTGTTGTGCCATCATTTTTATTATGTTAGCACCTACGCAGCTTTTAGATCGTTCCCACAAGGTAAAAGAACTAGCATAACTATAAACTAACACACCGAGCGAGTGGCATACACATAGCTAATGCACTGAACGCCTTCTTATCCTCGAACTTTCAAAATCTAGCTATGCGTGTTGACCTAGCATTTCACAGGTGCAGTGGATTGCAATCGAGTCTGGCAACCTAAATCAAGTCAACTATGTTGTTATGAAGGGAGACGTAAACCTCTGCCTCGGTAATTGGCTTTCCTTTCTATCGGGTTACACTTCAATTAGTCTTTCCCATGTTGTTGTAGCTCCGGAAGACTATGAAGATGTTAGTTTAGAGGTTGTGGAAGAGCAGATTCCTTGTCTGAGCATCACCATAGAAGATGACATGGAGAGGGAAAGCTGTGATGAGACCTTTACTGTTGTCTTGAGCACATCTGATCCCAGTGTCATTATTGTCTCACCAAACACGTCTACTGTTACCATCTATGACAATGAAGGTCTGCCACTATAATACAGCAGCTCATCACTCAACCCTGCCCTGTGTGTTCCTCATAGAGCCCAGGATTGAATTCATCAATAATACTCCAGATTCTACTGGTTCCAATATAAGCTCAGAATTTCAGATAGAGGGCTGCATCAATCAGACAATGTGTACCGTACGTCAAACTGGAGAATCTATTGCCTGTGAGCCACTCTGCCTATTTCATTTTCATGTCTTAAAGTATCTATCTCTGCTAGGTGAAAATTCTGTGTCCTTCACACAAGAGCGAAATGGTGCTCGCACTCTGTTTATTACAGCCAGTGGCTTCTGTGGAAACAGTCAAACACTGTCCCGTATTCTTCGATCTGGTGAGCCAATGGTGGTGTATATACAGGGTAATGTTGATAGTTGTGGTTTCTCTCACAACAGACGTTGCAGTATGTGATGTAGCTACATCAAATCAATGGAGAAGTAAAGCAAGCAACTGTAGATGGGAATAGTGCAACTGTACTGTTTGAAGGAACTGGTCCATCTGTTGACAATGTTGTCACTGATTTTGGGCTCAGCATTAGAAGGGCGAGTGCAACAGAACCTGGAGAGTTTGACAATATCGTGACTGGCCTCAGGTGCCCTACAGCAGCTACTCAGGCTCCCTCTCCATTTACTGTGACATGCTCTGTGGATAATGGTAGGGCTATAGCTATCACCACAGTTCTTCTTGCTATCTATTAGCTATCCTATAGTTGGTCATGGAGAGGTGACTGTGTCTGGGTTTGATTCCAGTGGCACATGGGCCATTGCAGTTCGGCCAATCGAGCCATCTGTTGACAGTCGTCTGTGCCGCAGGCGTATAGAACGAACGTTCATGTTTGACATTTGAAACTCTCCAGATATATCTGTTAAAGTGCAGAGCAGATTCATATTAGTTTGTAGCTGTCTAGTTTCATGTTCTCTATTGTATCTGCACTGAATAATTCTACATCATTTTTCCTAGTATGTGTCAAAAACAAGGCAAAGGCAAAACTAAGAAGAGCTTCCTTGCATTGGATTCGAACCCACGGCACTCTGCAGTCTAGGCGAGCGCTCTATATACCAACTTTAGCTACAAGACAAAAGCAAACCTCAAACCACTGTCCTATAATATGGCACAAGTGCACTCTCATAGTGATGGGCTATAGAATCTGGATAAGACTTCAAATCATGCGCGCGACCACAATTATGGACAGAGGTTGATAATTTTTAGTGAGGCGTGTTTTGCCAGGCAACAGGTAGCTATATAGAATGTGTGGGACTGGACTTCGTAATGCTTCTGTTAAATGCAGTACTCGTGTTATTTATGACACCAACAACGGTGCTCTGTCACTCAGTATCCCACGGAACCCTTATAATTACATGACGACAACAAATGTTGTGACCAGTAGCTACTACAGTGTTAGCTACGTGACTTCTAGCTACTCGAATTTCAGTGAAGAACTGCACAGTGCCTATCATGTATAAGGTGTTTATGGCTACTCCATATTCTTAATGGGTCATTTCTATGCAAGGAAGGTGACTATATACGGTCAATCTGTTGACAATGTTGTCACTGAATATTTGGGCTCAGTATTACAAGGGCGAGTGCAACAGAACCTGGAGAGTTCGACCAATGTATTGATCTCACATCAGTGTGTGCGGGCATGCATGTGTGTGTGTGTGTGTTACTCTCCATCTCACTTCTCGAGTGTTCGTTCGTCTCACGAAGGATACCACCTACTTAACGGGCAATGAAGTGCGTGCGGCGAGCAGACATATGGAAAGACACACTTCATAACCCCCCTCTGTGTGTGTTGATCTGTATAGGTAGGCAATTGGAAAACAGTTGTCAAACAGTATGAACAATCGCCGAAAGTTAATGATAGATTGATAGCGCTTTTGGCTATTCAGTGACCAATAATTGTCCTTATTGTCGTTCCCACAAGGCGGGGTCACATACACGTGCCTGATAATATTATCGTTCTTCTTTAGATGTCTGTACGGAATCACTTTTAGGTGTCTTGTATTGTTGGGTAGCTATATGAAGGCTAAGTGTTGTGTGATGAAAATCCCAATGAGAACTCATCTGGGGATGAGCTGGGGGATGGTGCCGGGGGCAGTGGCATTGCTGGGTACTCTTGTTACCTCTATTTTCATTGTAAGAAGGACAACAAAATGGCTTCAATGTCACTTAATCCTTCTACAACCCCTAAAGTTCTGGGAAATGAATGGCTGCAAATACTCAGCAAGGAATGCGGACGTTTCGCTTTACATACCTTCATTGTAGTGCCCCAAGGTTTCGCACTACGTTGGCTTAGCCACCACTGCGTGTAGTAGCTAGCTACTCCCCATCATTGCCTGCTGGGATGTGTGGTCCTTTGACCCTATGTAGTGTAGCTGTTTATGAGTATTGCTGTTTGGAAGCTTTGTGCTGTAACAGTATGAACTGTAGCTATAGAGAAACGAGTCTCAAACGACGAGAAACTAAACTGATAAGAGGCATTTCTCACGGAGAGAATCCAAGTGACCACATGACACACTGCAACAGTTCGCATATGAGGATGAATCACTGATATTCATGTCTCTGCAAGGCAGCACCTTTAGAATGTCTAGCTACCACATTTTGTTGTCAGTGTCATGAAGGACCACAAGATGGTTTCCATGTCACCACATCACCACACACACCCACATTCCTATACACCCTAGAGTTTTTGGAAATGAATGACACAAATAATCAGTCAAGAATGAAGAGGTTTCAATTACAGATCTTGTTTCACAGTGCACCGCGCGGCATTGGGTGGTCACACAGTGGCCAGGGGCTCACCAAAACAGGACCTCGGCAAAACTTTAGCATGCCCAAAACCATCACATTTTGCTGTCAAAAACGTGGATCTATGCTTCAAAAAACAGATCTGTTCCAATTTAGTAGACCAAACTATCGACCCACATAGCTCTGCTATAGCTTAAAAGTGCAAAAAGTGGACAAAGTCCTTTTACACACTAAACACCATAGCTGCACAAATGTGCAGGTCCGGGCTTCAAGAAGTCAATATAAGAATCAATGGGGTCTAGAAAAGATAATGGTGCAATAGCTACTTAATACAATGTTATATTTGTATAAGGAGCTACCATGCGTCAAGACTACGTCAGTGACACAATCGGACACGATCATTATCAGACACACACACACAGCATCATAGGAGACTCACAAGTCGGCAGTGGTGGTGCCCTCATTTTTATTATGTAGCACCTACGTAGCCTTTTGAGCTCTTCCCACAAGGGACAAAACAACTAGCATAACTATAAACACTAACACACCGAGGCGAGAGTGGCATACACATAGCTAATGCACTGAACGGCCACTAGCCTCGCAAACTTCAAAGTGCTAGCTATGCGTGTTGACCTAGCATTACACAGGTGCAGTGGATTGCACTCGAGTCTGGCAACCCTAATCAAGTCAACTATGTGTGTAGAAGGAGACGTAAACCTCTGCCTCGGTAATTGGCTTTCCTGTCATCATATCGGGTACACGCCAAGTCGTCTTTCCCAATACACAGGTAGCCCCAGTACCTTCCGTCACTATAGGATATCTACACATTCTCATGAACTTTTCCCTATGAGCTATGGATGCCATACCTATGAGTATCATATTGTTTCTGGGGCTAGCCTGTCCCTGCACTTACAGATGGCGCTCCATAAATATGCCAGGAGAGCCACTCACACAGTCTACAGTCGGCAAGGAGATGTAGCTCACCGGAATCAAATCGCCCTTGTTTTTGCTAAGTGCGAAGGCTGGTCGGTCTTGGAGGAAATTGTGGAGATGAAAGTGCTGCTGGTCAATATTGGCCGCGGTTATGGCACTGGCTGCTGGACTGCTGCTCTTCCTGCGTTCATGCTCAAACAGGTTTGCTTGCAGTAAACTGGATAAATTTTGATGGAGTAGCCAGCTATTGCGACCGGTTAGCCCGAGTTTAGTCTAAACATGGTGATCCACAACACAGTGAGGTGAGCGGAGTGAACGCCTTGCTTAGAGTGTGCACGTAGCTATATGTGCTAGCGTTGCGCCGCAGCAGGATTTGCACTGTTGACCATGGCCCACATACGCGAAAGTGTATGGCATATACTGAGGGGACTATCGAGTGATGCATACGTATAGCTTAGCTTATAGAGAGAAACAAAGGCTACAGTTGAAAACTCGTTTTCAAGAACTCGGCGAATACGCGTTAGGACGGACGTAATATCCGCGAGTATGGTGTGCGAAATGCTTGCATGGTTTACGCGCTAACGCTGCTATTTCCGTGCTAAAACTGAGCTCTTTGCTGTTGCGCTTTAGCTAAAGCAAAACACGTCTTGTACGGTGCGCCAAATGGGACTCGTTAGTGACGCACGCTTTAGCTTACGCGATAAATCCGCCTTAGCTTACGCGCCTAAACCATGCTGTCTAAAACTTTATTCGTGCTAAGTGCACCGTGCTAAGCGATTTGCTGGCTAGTCTATGCGCTTTAGCTAAACGTTTTTTTTCAACGCGTCTTGGACATCGCATTGCCCATCGCGCATCAATGCTCATTCCCGGATTTTTTTTGCGCGCGGGATACTGCAGAGCGTGCGAACGATTCCGGGCCACTAGGTGCATTGGGGGAAACTGGCTAAAAATGGTTTGGAACCAATCAGCGCTCTGGTGTTATTGCGCGCTAACCAACACGTGCGCATTACAAACGAACCAGTTTTTCAAACAAGGGTTGAATTGCGGGATGGTCGGAGCGCGATAAGTAATGCGTTGTGATGTTTTGACTAAAGCGCTTAGACGCATTAGACGACCGCGCTTTAGCTTTACGCGAGGTATGCTAGGCGAAACACGATCGCGTTAGCGCGTAATCCGTGACACTTTAGCGCGTAAGCTAAGGCGGATTTATCGCGTTAGCGCGTATGCTAAAGGTGCGTGCACTAACGAGTTTTTCCCATTTGGCGCCCATAAAAATGAGACGCAGCGATAATTCGCTTTAGCTTATAAAGTGCACCGTGCTAAGCGCTCTGGTGGATAGTCTATGCGCTTTAGCTAAAACGCCGTTTTGCAAGCGTCTTGTCATCGCATTCTTATTGGCGATGTTTTTAGGCGCGCGCGTTTGATATTATGCGCGGATAGTGACGGGGGAAAGCGGTGGTCTCACTGTTAGCTATACTGACTTACCTGGGCCTTTGTAATAAGGAAAAACGGAAATCAGTTGCGGTTCAGTTGCACGTTTTCCGGGCCCAGGTTATTTGGGTTGGGTTAGCAATCAGCGTTCCCGTGTTGTATCTATATTGCGCGCTAACCAACGCGCTGCGCATTGGAATGTATGTCAGTATTACAAATGGAAAAATCATTCTTCAAATGAAGGGGGATATAGGGATGGCTCAAACCACCAAAAAAGAAAGAACAAGTGGTCATTACACAGCTAAGACACACAAATCAACATGACACCATCCCTACATCTTTTATGATCATAGAACAAAGATATAGGGATGGTGTCATGTTGATTTGTGGGTTTTAGCTGTGTAATGGTCTGAAGAAGATGACACGAAAATCGAAGAATCGCGTACAAGTCGCGTGGAGAACTGAGGGCGTGTATAAAGTAGTTGGGCATAGGTATAGCTAGCTATTGGCCTCTAAACTATTGTTAGTGATTTTTGAGGGCATTGTGAGTCATTCTCGCCCGTTTTTTACGCGGATCACGTGAAATCTGACCCGTGCCGTCATCCATAGAGCGTCTACCGACACTCTAATATTATGCTACTAAAGATCAATAGCATTTTAATTCGTTTCAAGTTACAGTTTCTAAATGTTAGCCCTTATATAGCTACACCAAGTAAAACCAGTCACCCCCTCTTTATCTCTTGTTCAGCAACATTGACGATGAACGAACACACTGTAACAGAAGGAGATGTCTTCATGGGTATCTGTGTTCAAGCAGACGATCAAGATTCAGGTTTCGCGGATCCCTTGGTGGTGAATCTTTTTGCTGGTGAGTTCTTACTACAGT